ACGGTGGCAGCATGAGTGGATGAGGAGCTGCCCTGCCATGAGGAGCATGGGCCGAAGGGAGCTGGGTGGTTGGAAGATTCTGAAGGCCCAGCATAGCTATGTCTGGAGTAGTCAGGAGTAGGGAGGCCTTATTGGAAGGGGTACAGCCTATAGCCTCTCTACCTCTGTTAACTAGGAATGACCAGACCCTGAATCTGGTGCTAAGACTGGTGGTGAGAACCTGTGGAGCCAGGCTGGCTGGGCAGGGGAAGCAGAGGGACCCTCAGTAGATACAGACACTCCCAGGCCTCCCCACAAGGCAACACTCTGAGGCATGTTTGTGGGTCCACATTTATTAAACTGGCAGCAGCCCCGAGGCCTGAATGAGTGGCCCCTTACTCTTCCTTCTCCTCACCATGGGTGATGACATAACTCAGTGCCTTATAGTCTAGGTTGCCTGCGGCATCAATGGATGCAAACTGGAACATCTGGTCAACCTAGAGCAGTGGGATGGAAGGGCAGGTGGGAGAGGAGTGGATAAAAGGGGTGAGTTACAGGTGCTGAACTCCATTGGGCTCTGGGTCTTGTTTCTGCACTGGCTGGGGGAAGGTGGTGCACAGACAGCCCCAGCCCAATGCCTGATCCAGCCCTAAATCCCCCTAATGTGGCTAGGTGTCCAGCTTAAGTGTCACGCTCAGGCCTTTCATCACCATGGGGAAGGCAATGTGTGAGGTACAGGAGAGGAACGTGGGAGGGCCTTGGTCTCTTGCTGGTGCTAGGGGTGTGGAGTATGCGATGGGAAGTGGGATGGGCCAGCATAGATTGCATTGGCCACTGAATGGCCTCCAGCTGCTGCCCTTATCCTCTGAGCCAGTTCCTCAAGTGGCCACCCAGGAGCCCCGCCCCAGGGCCTGCTCTGAGTGCCCTGTGCTCCACCCACAAAGTGCTGTCACCTCTAGGGCTGCCTCTTTCACCCCCAACAAGGCACCCCAGGTGCCTTGTCCCACCCTGTGGCCATGCTTGGATGGGCGGGAGCTGCACCAAACCTCATCTGCAGTCATCTTGTCAGCCTGCGACATCAGCAGACGTTTGATGCTGAGGAGAAGAGGGGAGGATGGGGGTACTGATTGGAGGGGAAGCCTGGAAGGTCAGTTTACACCCATGGCTCATCAGGGGGTGCAGGGCTCAGTGTGCTCACCCACTCTTCCCCACACAGGCCGTGGTCACCCGGAGCCCTGACACACACCCGAGGGTCACCACTCATGGGAGCTGGCCTGGGGCATCTGATGGGGCAGAGGCCAAGGGCTTAGGCTAGTGCCTGGGACAGCATATGCCTGGCAGGAGGTAGCCCTCCACAAAAGGAGCTGGTGACGGGCCCTCGCTGAGTTACCCTGGGGGACTCGGGATCTCGGGATCTTGGGGCTGGTGAGGGGTGGGAGAGGTGAGCTGGTATTCAGGTGGCCGACATTCCCTCTCCAGGGCAAGTGTCCCTCAGACACTAGAGGGCAAGGCCCTTGGGGAGCCCTCAGAGGCCCGATGCTCTCCCTGAAGCCTGGCACTCACTAGTCCTTATTGATGCTGCCTTTGCCGTCAGGGTCCAGCATCTTGAAGGCATTTAGGATGGTCTCCTCGGCATCAGTCCCTGTGTACAAAGAGGCCTTGAGCCCTGGCACTTCGGGTCCCAGTTCTGCTCTGGGTTTCCGAGGGCAGGGGGTGGTGGTGGGGGTGTGTCACTGGTCCAGGACCAAGGATTTACCAATTGAAGCACTCTGTCTGGAAGGTGTTTCCCACTCCTGAGCTCCAGGGGGGCCCTGCCCTGTCATCCTGCCCTGGGACTGGGGTGGGGGGTATGGTTATTCTAGGGATCCCCAGGGTCAGCCCAGTTCTGGAGCTGGGTCCAGTGCTCCATGAATCAGGGACAGAGGCCCTGCTGGGCAGACAGAAGGCATGGGCAGGGATTGAGTGTCTGAACCTACCCTACTCTAAGGTGGCCAACAGGTCCCATAGGTATGAGTCCCAGAATGCCAGGTGCTAAGGCTTCTAAAGAGATTGGAAAGTACAGATTTTTATGTGAAACGTCTGGATGTCTAAGTTTTTGTTTTTTGTTTTCTGGAGAGGATTTTGCTATAGAGCGCTTGCACTCGCAAGAAAGACAGCGAGAGACAGAGAGACAGAAAGTGAGAAATCACCCCCCAGGGGGGATGGCCACGCTGCAATCCCTTCTCCTCCATTCTCTTGGGATCTTTGGCACGCATCCACATGCGCCTGGTGTGAGTTTACGCCACTAGGCCCAGGACTTGAACCGTGGTCGGCTACATGGGAGTCCAGCGATGTATCCATTACGCCAGCTGCTCGTCCCGCTTTTTTTTGTTGTTGTTGTTCTTGTTTTTTTTTTTTTTTCTGAGAGCTGGATGTCTAAGATTAAGTGACTAACCAAACACACACGCTGAGCTGGAGGGTTGGCCATCTCGGTTCTGACCCGTGGGAAGGGGTTGCGACCCCCTTTCCCCATGCTCACCATTCAGCTTCTCCCCGAACAGGTTCAGGAACATGGTGAAGTTGATGGGCCCCGAGGCCTCCTTGAGCATGGCATCCAGCTCGTCATCCTTGACGTTGACCTTGCCTGTGCAGGTGTGGGGAGGGAGGTGTCATGGGGCAGGCACGGCACCCCACCCTGTCTGCCCTTGCTGATGCACCTCTGCCCCACAGGCAGGGGACTCACTGGGGTGGGTGCAAGGGGACCAGGGAGAGGAGACAGGGAGGGAGGGTGCACTCGGGCCAGGTGAGGGTCTAGGCTGGGTGTGTCGGCCTCTCCCACACCCTGAGCCCAGGAAGAACAAGTGCCAGGGGTTGCCATAGAATAGGGGTGGGAAGGACCAGCAGTTAGCGTAATGGCTATGTCGCTGGACTCCCAGATAGTCGACCGTGGTTCAAGTCCTGGACCTGGCGGCTTAAACTCACACTGGGCCCAAGATCCTGAGAGGAGAATGGAGGAGAAGGGATTGCAGCGTGGTCATCCCCCCTGGAAGGTGATTTCTCACTTTCTATCTCTATGTCTCTCTCTGTCTTTCTGGAGAGCACACGTGCCCTATAGCAAAAACCTCTCCAAAAAAAAAAAAATAGGGGCGGGTGCTGTGACCTACTGTTTTCCTTACTTAGGCATAAGAGGTGCCCGGAGGGACAGCAGACCACACGTGCCCCTCCCCAACCCAGGTAGAAACCAGACTGCCTCCCCAGCTCCCCCACTGGACCCAGCAGCTGCTGTCTCCCACCTAGACTCAGAGACAGCTGCCGAGAACACCATGTCCTGCGGTGGGGAACCAAGGCCGGGCGGCGTGCCTGGCTTCGTAGAGTATCGCTGAGGCCCGTTGGGGCAGGTGGGGTAGGCCTCTGGTCCAGACCCTGCCTGCCTCAGTGTTTAAAGACTGATCTGGCTGTGGCACCCAACCAGTATCAGCCCCTCCCTGGAGCCCCTTTCCCTGGACCCCACCCTGGGTTCCCATGCTTGGGCTGTACCTAACCTGCTCTGTCTCCCTGGGACAGACTGTGGCAGCTCTCAACAAACCAGGGGGAAAACTTTGGGGGAGGCTATGGCCACCTCATCAGAGTCTGTGGAGACTCTGGGTCAGCCTCAAAAGCCAATGCCCTTGCCTCACTCAAAGAGGAAGAGGGAGGATGCCTGGGACCCGAAGGACGTGCACCCTCGCTCCTCCCATGGGCTGGCACTTACCCAGGGACGCGTAGGTGTCTTTCAGGTCCTCCTTGTCAATGAAGCCATCTCGGTTCTGATCCATGAGTGTGAATGCCTGAGAACCAAGGCCAGGGTGCTGTGCTGCTGGCCCAACCCAGCCCTCAACCTGTCTTGCCCCTGCCCCTGCCCCAGCGCTGCCCCTGCCTTGCCCCTGCCCTGCCCTGTCCTGCCCCTGCTCTGCTCCGCAGCCCCATCAAGTCAGGACAGACACTACTTTCCCTGGCTCTGCAGAGAGGCACAAGCTGGGTCTTCCCAGGACAGGCTTCTTGGTAAAGATCTCACCTCCTTGAACTCCTGGATCTGGGTCTGCTCAAAGTTGGAGAAGACATTGGACGATGCCCTCTGGGCCCGAAGGGCCCCCCCTTCCTTCTTCTTGGTCTTCCTGCTGGCCTGAGGTAGGAGAACCAAGGCAAAGGGTCCCCAAGCTGGCTGAGGGAACCCTTGGGGGTATCCTGGCATTTTGGAAGACAACTCAGAGGAAGGATGGGTGGGTTGTGGTCCTTGGGTTGGAGGGTTCTAGGCAGCTAGGAACTGGGCCTTTAGGGTGGGGGGGCAGCTGTGGGTGTTTGGTGTTTGACACAGGGAGCGAGAGAGGACAGTGACTCCCCCCCCCAAATCCTGACAGAACACAGGGGTTCCTGCAGACCAGCCAGGAGCAGGCTCTGCATCTGGGGACACGAAGCGTAATTCTAGGTGGGCTGGTTCTGAGGACTGCGGCTTCCTGATAGCCAGGAACCCCCCTCTTCCACTGGGACAGCTATGGGACGTGTATCTCCCATCCCGTCCTCAGTTCACAGCCCCTTTAAGACACACATATTCACATACATGCACAAATATGTGCCCATTCTTGTGGGTACATATGTGCACACACACACACACATGCACAAATACGCCTGCACACTGTGCACACATGCACACACTCACAGGCCACCTGGTCGCGACTCACCATGCCTGGTCTGCCAGTCCAATGTGTCTGTGCCTCTCCCTGCCGGGCCCAGGGCTTGCCAGTCTTAAGCTCCTGTCTAGTCCCCCAGGACAGCTCAGACTTCAGCTGCCAGTCCCTACAAGGACAGACTTAGGGATACCCTAGGGGCCTGGACAACTGCAGAGTGAGCTTCTGCAGCCCAGCAGTGACTCGACACCTCCAGCCTCCCCAGGCACCTCCAGCCAGCTTCGATCCCCCTCCACCACCACGCACCCCCATCCTGGCACTTTGGAAGACCTAACTCAGAGCAAGTATGAATACAGGATCCTCTGCACCTCTAGAGCCGACTTCATGCTCTCTTGGCTAGGGCCTGTGAGGGGCTGAGGGTCTGCCTGGGTACCGTGGGCCCTGCTGGGACTGCAGGAACTGCAGGGACCAGAGGAAGTGGAACCTTTTCCAGATTTGCAGAGTTGCTAAGGATGATTCTGGTAGTTGGTCAGTAGGGGTCTGCAAATGAGACTCCACTTACAGGCAGATAGGGTAAGGACCCAAAAGGTAGTCACTGCATTTTTCTTCCCTCCCTTCCTTCCTTCCTCCCTCCCTCCCTCCCTCCCTCCTTCCCC